AAAAGTATAGTCGTTTTTTTGAGAATACACTGCGTAGTGATATTCTGACATCTCTGTACTTCGAATGACATTCTCTTGCATTCTGTCCACTTCAGATCAATGGCGTGTTCGTGCACTCGGATGAGTTAGTCAGTCGAGTATCAACTGATCAGCGAACTCGATCACGAACAGAAGAGTCAGTGAACAACATCGCTGTTTATTCAGTGAGAGATGACCAAGATGGTCTTAGAGGCACCTTTCTCTGGTTTCAACTGCTCATCGACGTCCTTCTGCGTCTTCCTCATTCAACTAGTGACATCCAACAACTGATCATCATGTGCAAGGAGAGCTATGCCGATAATCCACATGAAGAAGCGACGATTCGAGAATTTGAAAGAGACTATCATCCACAAATGAGTATTTGGTGGTACACTCGAGACTCTTGTCTCTATCGGATACTCAACAAAGCTCTTCGACTTCAAGACATTGATCTTCTCTTCTCCATGAGATTTCTCATAACAGATATTAGTCAACAGCTGAAAGACGAACATCGAAAGTTCGTTGAGAAGAACGGTGGGTCTATGATTCGAGTCTATCGTGGTCAAGCAGTGGCGACAGAAGAGATGAACAAGTTGAGATGTGGAAAAGGGCAGTTGATTTCATTTAACAGCTTTCTCTCGACGAGTTTCAACAGAGATGGAGCGCTGACATTTGCACGTCAGATTGTTTCCTCTGATACTTTGCAGCGTGTGTTCTTCGAGATCAAAGTGGACACTCGACTCGAGACTCGTGCATTTGCTGATATCAGTGACATGAGCTACTTTCAGAGTGAGAAAGAAGTTCTCTTCACTCTCGGCTCTGTGTTTCGACTTGAGAATGTCATGTTCGATGAGAGGGAGACGTTGTGGTGTGTCAAGTTGACACTGTGTAATGAAGATGATCAAGATATGAAGGACATGTATGAGCATCAGAAGAAGAGAGTTGGTGGTGGAGATGAAGAAGCCAGTCTCCTCTCACTTGGTAATGTGGTGTACAACATGGGTGAATATGAGAAAGCGAAACAATACTACACTTGCGTATTGGATGAGTTGAGTGATGATGATACAAATGTTGCTCTGTGTCATAAAAGACTCGGCGCAGTAAGTGCATCATAAGGAGAATATGATGTTGCACTCGATCATTTGAATGAAGCCGTGAAACTGTACAAGAAGTTTCAACATGCACATGACACACTAGACATTGCTCAGTGTTATTATTGGATAGGCTACGTGCACAGGGAGAAAGAAGAATATGAAACAGCGCTTTCTTACTTGAACAAAGATTTGGCTATAAAACAAGCGAAGCTTCCTGCTGATCTTGTTCAAACTGCCATGACTCTACAACAAATCGGTGTTGTTCACTATCGGCAAAGAGATTATGATTCTGCCTTGTCTTATCATCAGCATGCTCTTGTCATGTACAGGAAGGTATTGCCCCCGACTCACTCTTCCATATCAGCTAGTCTGTTGGAGACTGGCCATGTGTATCTCGATAAGAAAGAGTACGATCGAGCTCTCGGTTATTACAATCAAAGTCTCCAGATTAAACGAAAGTCACTTCCACTCGATCATCCAGATGTAGCTACTACTTACTATTCGATCGGTCGTGTGTATAAGGAGAAGAATGATTCGACGAGAGCTCTGGAGTATTCCGAGAAGTGTCTCGTCATTCGAAAGAAATCTCTTCCACCATCTCATCCGCACATTCAAATGGTGAGTGACGCTATCCGACGGGTGAAATCGAAGTAACATTTGGTTTATCTGAATGGACTGAGGCACTTTTTTTTTCTAGTTTTATGCATTACTAATTACAATGACAGAATAGCTGATCTCTTGACTTATTCAGTATGTCGAGAGAATTGCATAAAAGCTCTTCCATGAGAGGGGATAGTCAGAAGTATATCCACAAGTGGAATGTGGGGCTTGTGAGATGTGATTAGGTATGTACCGAACGTCGAGTTATCCGAAAACTCGAACCGTGCTATCCGCAGTTCCAGGAACCCGAAATTCGAGCTAATCGAGTTCGAGGTACTGGAAAATTAAAGTCTATTTTTTTTCTGATTGATGTTATTCTCAGGCCTCTATGTATTCAAAAGGATCGCACTCTTTTTAACTCATTTGCATGTTAACTTCATTTTACACTTTACGTAAGTAATCTGAACTCTTATGTTCTGTTAGTGTTTTTCCCTAAGAAAAATTTGCTTTTGCATTTACGAGGGAACATTCCCTGCTGTTTACCCCTATTTTCTTTCTAACATACATCAATCGATAGCCTATATCGAGATAGTAAAACGCCTAAAAGGATTTATCCCCGCGGCTCTTGAAGACCTGGTTTTCTGGAAAACCAGTTTTCCAGAAACTCTGAAAGAATAATCAAGGCGTTTCTTAATAAGGCATGATTGTAGCCCGGAAATTTCTGATTAAAATCAGACCTCTCCCAACTCTACATGATCTTTCTTTGCAAAGTTATGGAATTTGTAAGAAAAATATTCATTATTAATTGTAGCAATAAAGATCCGATTTTTCAAAATTGAAACGCAGTTCAAATCTTTGAAGATTACTTTCTACACGAGGTCATAGAGAACAATAGAACGCAGAAATCTTTGCTTATGCAAGAGAAGAACAGCACAAGTGAAACCTTGGCCTACAAGAAAAAACAAGTATAAACTTTGTCGTGCATTGACTCTGTCTTGCTCGACGAAAACCACCTGATGAGATAGTCGAGAAAGCTCGAAATCGGTCGTACCATCTTTTGATTCTCCCAAAAATGCGTTCTGTTTGAGTCTCTATAGCTAACCGACAAACGGTTGTAAACTAAACCAAATTAACATTCGTACTGATAACTCACACAAAACTTCAAGTGATCACGTCTAGGTATGCACCGGGGTGAGCTACCCGAAGTTCGAGCTACCCGAGTTCGAGCACAATCAGTGCCTTTGCAAAGCAGCATTCATACAACATGTGGCACTCAAACACATTTACTTCGTAGGCTTCTTTTGCATTTCACATGCCCTTTCTTCCTATTTTTGTATCGCTGATTGTGTTACAGAAGATTAGCTGCATTAACAGCAAAGAAATAAACATAGATTCCACGACATCGATTAAACCGCTTCGCCAGCGCAGAGGAATCAGTCGCCGGAGCTCGCATAATGCACCCATTTACATTTATAATATACGACTGAGAAAGAATACCTCGAAGAATATCAAAATAAAATGAGTGTCTCATAGAACTCATTCGATGAAATTCAGAGTGAGACATATTGACATTTAGCTTGTCGGGATCTACATGAAACATTACTTTGTATCTGTGACACAGATCTGGTAGAGAGTCTCTGCCAAAAATACTGGTTTCTGAACGATGTTCCCGTGAAACACTATTTCGTTTTGTATTGTATGTGTGTCAGTTGAGGTTGTGAGGTGGTTTTGTTCGAGCTTATGGAATTCTGTGGCGCAATCATTTACCTCTCTGACAGAAGTGGGAATGTGAAGTAAAAGTGTCAGAATATCAGACTAAATATCGAGCGTAGCTTTTCCGTTGTTGCATCGCTCGTTGTCTAACAGCGTCATAACATATCAGGTTTACATTCAGTAGAAGAATCTTCAGTTAAGTCGATGAATTCAAACACATTGATAGCTTTTTGTATATTACGTTTTTTAAGAAACATAATATATTAAATACAATTGAAAACACGTTAAGTAAAGGCATTTTACAATTTTTGGGAGCTTTCGATACTAATCTAGTATCATTATCAGGCATACATGAATACTCAGTTGTCATTAACCTATGGATAAAGACTAATCTATCTTGATGTGAACTATTTCTCTAGCTTTTGTACTTTTTCGGACCGTTCGTTTCTTCTCTGTTTTTTATTTTTCTTTTCGTTTAATGTACGCTTTGATGTAGTATCATTCTTATATCACAGTTTATCCCTTGATAGATACAGGCTGCCGGTAAAAAATGGAAGTTATACTCACTCTGAGTAAACAGAACAGAAGAAAGATAAGTTTGCACTGATGAGCAAAAGTAGGGAAGAAACAAAATAGTTTGAATTTTCGCTCTCAGTATGTGTTTTTCGTTCTTTATCCAATATGAGTGAGTTTGTTCTGCCTTGCTCTCTTCAATTTGTGCGATCTTTGTGATGATGGAAGCTGATGCAAAATGCCTGTTCAACGAACAAATATGTCATCAAAACTCCACGACTTTAGCAGTAAGTATTAGAAACACTTAAGGTAGTTGTGGCGGCGATGAATATGACTGTAGAGCACTCTCTGAAAACTCGACCGGCTATCCTTTCAACCGACGTCAAATCTAAATTGGAATATCTATTACTACAACACGGATGTTATGATATAAATCTCGTCAACATTTCTAAATATACTATTTGTGACAACCATTGTGAACTTATCGAAACATCGAAATTCAAATCATGCAGTGTTTGCAAGTCTTGCTTCCACCGCCCGAAAAATAGTAAGAGTAATCTTGAGCCAATAAAGAAAAAATTTGGTTTTGTCATACGGAAATCATTCAGAAAATCATTATTTGGCAAACCAATATGCGCCTATTGTCGTCGACTTCTTCGAAACGATCATTTCACGGAAGCAATAGAAAACGAAGTAAAAGATTTATTTCAATGGTTATACTGTTACGATATAGTACACATTCCTTCAACGGTCTCAAATTCTCAATCGCAATCACAACGAAGTATCTATAGTGAATCCGCTGTGGATGATCGAGTTACCTTACGAGAATTTCTCTCGAAAATGACCTACGATTGTCCGATAAGCACTACTTTAGCGTACAACGCTCGTACCGAAAAATCCAAGCAAAATTTTTGTAGAGATGCAGAATAAGTTTTATTATTTTTCATAGATATTCTGGCACCAAATGATGCTGATGACGTTTGGAACGATATCGCAGAGGGTAAAAAGATTAGAAACAAAGAGAATTCCGATTTATGTATGGGCAAAGATTTCGAAAAAGCCATGCAAGGAGTAGCTCAATCCTACGATAATTCGGATCATTGGTCAATCAGACGTCAGATACTATCGATAGTGACAAAAAATATTCCACTGGACATCGCTCAAAAGTTTATTCCCAATTTGACCCCTTGGAGGTTCAAGCAAGCTCGATCACACGCTGATTTTGAAGGGAAAGGCGTAACGGTCGATACCACACGTTCACCAAGAGTCGGTTATGAAAAACAAGCAGTTTCGCATTTCATTCAGTTTATTGTGTCACCAAACGTATGTACGGACCTGCCGTTCGGAGAGAAAACGCTGGTTCTGACTACCGGGGAGGAACTCGAAATTCCCAACACGATTCGAAATATGATACCGACGAGAATAATCAATCAATATAATGCTTACGTCAACGAAATGCGCTCGTCACAGCAGATTTCTTTAGATTTTGAAGCTCTCTTTATGCGATATTGAACGAATGTTTAGCGTCGAAAAGAAAATCGTTGCAAGGGCTTGATTATTTTTCAGCCGACGGATCATCGGTCAAATGTCCGGTGTCAAAAATCCGTCCGTAGTTCATGATGTTGCTGATAATGATGAGACTGTTGAAGAATGATAATGAAAATAAAAACTTGGTTTCTAAAGATTCTTTTCCTTTAAGCCTTAGTCTTACTTTTGTTCTACCTGTTCGTTTCTGCGCATAACGAGTTAAATAGAGAAAGCTTTTTATTGAAAACTTTATGAGGGGTGCTAAATATTCCACAAATATCATAAGACTTGACATAATGTTGCATTTTGTTTACAAATCAACCGGCTGATTGATCGCGAAGAAGAAACAGTAGGAAAATAAACCTTGCACGGTGTAGAAAATGACTGTATATTCGATCGTACGCTGCTTATCGTGTTTCTTGTATATTAATACGCATCTTTAGAAACATGAATCTTGTCTTTTTCCCATTCTTAGACTAAGCAGTGACATCCTTCTGATGATCTGATGAAAAGTATGTTGTACGACACTCTAAGATTTATCTTTTTGCAATTTAGCTATGAGAAAAACGGTTGGATTTCAGTTTAATTCTAGCGGTTTAAGAAAGCGCTTTCGACGTTGAATGCGACTAGATCATTATATTGGCACATAACATGCATATAGGACGACCTCTCTCTTGAACTCAAGATAAGAGATGAAAAAATTCTATTTTCATCGATTATTCAGTTTAGTCAGTTTATATTGCCAGTACGGACACACGTCCAACTTCTCCTTCTTGAAATATTCTTCAATATGTAGTGAACGGTTCACTACATATTGAAGAATATTAGAGTATGGGCACCGGGACCAAAAAATTTTTCTGGTCCCGGTAAAAGATTCGCGTGCCATTCCATTAACTTTAGTAAACTAATATTTGATCACGCATTTTGTACAGAAATGTTTGCTCTTTCAGCCTATATATTTTAAAGTATATCACGGGCGTGCGTTATCAATTAATTTAGCAAATATAATGACCGGGACCAGATTGATCCCGGTTGGTCCCGGTCATTGTATTTGCTAAATTAATTGATAACGCACGCCCGTGATATACTTTAAAATATATAGGCTGAAAGAGCAAACATTTCTGTACAAAATGCGTGATCAAATATTAGTTTACCACTAAAGTTAATGGAATGGCACGCGAATCTTTTACAAGGACCAGAAAAATTCTTTGGTCCCGGTCCCCATCTCTAAGTGAACCGAATATGAAATAATTTATGCTGGAAAAAATAATAATATAGAAATATATAAAATTCTGCCTTCCCTTATCCTGTTCTTGAAAGAAAAATAAAGTTCTACACACATCAGAGTCCGAATCGAACCGAATTTTCGAATCGAATCCGGGCTCTGATACACATATACTTCAGATTAGCATAAAAGGTAGAACTAGGGATACTGTTTAAACAAACATTATACAGCTGTTTTACTTGTATTTCATTCATGTTTCTCTGTTTTATCTAACTGAACTAGTAATGGGAATTATATAGACATGAATGTTTTGTTATACAACCGCAGTGATGAATATAACGGTAGTTTATGGTAGTTATTATCATCATTTAACACTCTGATTTATGGACTATCAATAGCTCTGTCTCACGAATGACAGTAGTAGCCTTTTAACTGTTTTCATTTCTGTTGTGCATGCATTATTTCTCACTACGATGGCCAGAACAGAAAACCGGAAAGTCATGGTAGTACAGAAAGTTCTATGAAAACTCATTTGAGTTTTTCATTTGCTTCGAAAGTTGCTTTTCATAAGCTCATCTGTGACATTTACAGCCTTATACCAGCGCCACCTTTTTTGAAAAAATAGCTCGGCATAGAGTACAACTTCTGTACTTCAAACTGCAACAAAAGTGCCAAAAGGATACCTTCGAATTTCTTAACTTCTTATCTGAGAATTTGCCAGAATGTACACTGACTTCATAATGAGTGCAATGTTTCTTTTGGATAAAAACATAAAATTTGTCCCTTTCGCGTTTCTTGCTTTATAACTCTCTCTATCGCGCGCATAGAAAGAACGAAACATAAAAGCGAAGAAAAATAACATAAAAGAGAGCGGAAAAAAGCGGCATCTTTGATATCTGCTGTTGAATATAGTGTGAGATACCATGAAAACTCAGTGAAAAATCCGGATCCCAAAAATGTCGGTACGCAGACGAGACTTGCAGCGTACAAAGTAACTCGTCGCGCTGATTCCAAATATGTAAAAAGCTCAATAGAAAAAAATCATCAAATTTTGATATGTTTGACTTGAGTGGAAACTTTGATGATGCCACGACGTAGTACCCGCGAAAAAACTACTCTTTGATGACGCAGCTAATGAATACTTGCAACCATGGCACTATCCATATATTCTCTAGATGTGAAACGGCGCCAGATAACTTTTGATTCAGGTGGAAATCTTGGTAATGTCACGACGCAGAACACGGGAAAAAGTGACTCAATGATAAACAGTATGAAAACTCTCGAATCTCCGACCATGAGCGGTAAACTGATATTAAAAGACAAATCTATTCTATCTACGATTAAAATATACAGAGGATGGCAAATAGTGACTCCTTAAGAGTTTTGACAACCGCAAGGCACTTATCAGTTCCTAGAACGTCTCAGCCCTTATAGCGTGCGGGTTAGGTTAAGTCGTCATGTCTATGTAGGTGTGTTTCGCTAGTGATCAACATCGCTACATCTCTGGGTCGGGTCAGGT